ATATATATGTATGTATGTATGTATGTATGTATGTATGTATGTATGTATGTATGTATCTATACTATAACTATAAGGAAAGTGTATGAAAAGCTTTTCATTTTCCTATGAATCTACCCACTTGCACACTACTGACTGCAGTGGGTGCCTACTTACTCCCCTCATCTCCCCCTCAGCCCCGTTTCGTAGCAGTGACCAAGCTAGAAGACTGCCAGGCTGTTCGAACCATCGCCTTCCACCCCACAGGAAACTTCTACGCCATCGGCTCCAACTCCAAGATGCTGCGGATCTGTGCCTTCCCCAATCTGGGCAATCTCAGGTAACCTCCTGCTTCTCTCACTGGCTGCTTGGGATCGTCAATCAAATCTGGGGAATGGGAAGTTGTACTTCTACTCTGTCTTGAAAAGGAGTTATATATTGTAATGTGTATGTTTGTGTGTGTCTGCCTCCTTTATTATTAATGTATACCATGGGGTGATTCGTTGGTCTGACTTCTTTCCTTTCCCTCTGTTGTTCCAGTGTGCTCATTTTGCTTTTTTTTCCGGCAATAAATGACCATTACCACTGCCTTGTGCTTCTCTTCACTCAAACTAATGTACACAGTAGTGGTTGGAGATGGTAGGCTCTACATCTGTTTGTCTGTCTGTTTGCATGTCTGTCTGTCTGTCTGTCTGTCTGTCTGTCTGTCTGTCTGTCTGTCTGTCTGTCTGTCTGTCTGTCTGTCTTCTCCTCCTCCTCCACCATCCACTTCGCGGCTGGAAGGTGGGGGGGGGGGCACTGGTACTTTCTATCACGTTATTGTTTCTGTCTGTCTTATCTTTTTTCCGGCAATAAATGACTGTTGTCGTGATGATCTGCTTCTCTTCACTCAAACAAATTAGACTATTTCCATTACAGTTTCCTTGTGTATGTTGATAGGTTCTGTCTGCACCTCTTCCTTATTAGAATTACTACCTGCGATAAACAGGATCAGGAAATTCGAATAGATTTGTGTGCACTTTATTCCAACCTCCTACACATAGTTCTTCAATAAGAGGTGAATAAAGGAAAATAAAAGAGATTTGTAGAAAGAGTGGGAAATGGGTAAGGAGAGCAGGGGACGGAAGTTCAGGGAGGG